GGGGGGGGGGGGAGGGGGTTTTGGTAAAAAACTTAGGGTTCGATATGGTTAAGGGAGTTGGGGCGAGTGTGTGGGATTTGGGGGTTGAGAGTTTGGGCGCGGAGGATTTAGGATTTTTTGGAGTTTAGGGTCTTGTGGTTCGGGGTTTGGGATAGTGGGAATGTCGCAACAGTCCCTACACCCTAAACTCCTAAACCCAAAGCCCTAAGCCCCATTACCGCTGCAAGAGAAGAGTGAAACTTGAGTCAGCAAGTTTGCGCACACAAGACTTTTAGGGTTTAGGGTTTAGGGTTTAGGGTACAGTTCAGCGCATGGAAACTTCGGAGTACAAGACGTTGCAGCTTCAAGGAAGTCGAAAGATGCAGCTTTGCACCTGCGTATACGAGGAAAACTTTGTCAGGAGATATGACATATATCCATCCTGGACATGTGAGTGTAGTGCAGTGACATAGTCTGAGCACTTGGGCATAACGTTTCAATCGCACAAGATCGGGTCAAGCACATAGCTGTACACTGGTGGAAGGCATGTGAGGGTGTGGCAGCAAAGTACGGCACCAGGATACGACAACACACACACAACCAAGATAAGAGTAGGGGCATGCTAGAACATGCTACTGCAAGGCCTTAGGACCATAACCATGAGTGATCATGAGTCAAGGACCACGAACCTAACACAGTCAGCGAACCGTGCAGTGCTTGCAGCAACACAACTATTGCACATTTGGGGGTTCGGGCAAGGGTCCTAGCCTTCTTCCTGGATGTGCCGCTGAACATATTTCAGAAGCGGGCCTTGCACATAGCTGTCCGAAGTTTCTAGTCGGTTACAGTTGCTCGCGGATGTGCCCCTAGCCCTACACAGTGAACCCTAAACCCTCTGTAAACCACCACGCATGTGTGTGTGTGTATGAAAAAAGTTTACACAAAGACACGTATTCTTATACAATAATATACAATAATATACTAGATATATGTGATATATATATATATATATATATGCTATTTTATATACATGTACATATATATATATACATATGTATATATATATACACACATATATATATATATGTATATATACATATATATATATATACATATGTATATACATACACACACACACACATCTACACACATAAATATGTATCCGAGCCCCGAAGCCTCAGGCAGGGAGGCGGGCGGTGGTGGATCCCCTCACTGCTTCGCTGAGCTGCGAGGAGAGGCTGAAGAACACAAGTTTCCAGCCATCCATTCATTTAGGGTTTAGGGTTTAGGGTACACAGAAGACGACAACCCCGAAAGTTCACAGACCGCAAGCAGAAGCCCTTGAGAGCAGACTTGAGTGTGAGCTTAGATGCCGGCCGCGAGAGATAGTACTGCCCGCAGTACAGGTTGATTCTAAGCCCTAAGCGTTCAGGTAGCCTGGAATCTCTATGACACTGACTATACTATACGATACTCTACTGTACCTACAGAGGGAGGGTTTAGGGAAGTCAGCGTTCACATTTGGGGTTTAACAGCCCTAGCTTGCAAGGCAAGCGATTATTGGATTTTGCCGGGTGGGGAGTTTCATCAGAGTCATCACCTAAACCCGTGTTATTCCTGAAGCCCAGAGCCCCTGAATTCTACCACCTTAAACCCCCAAAATCCTTTCAAGCCCCTACAGCCAAATTCGTCCACCCCAAACCCTTAGTCCCTAAATTTTCTTTCAGCCCCAAACTAACTCCCCACCTAGCACTGTCCCTCGGTGGCTTACGGGAGAACCGGCCCTGACAGTCACTCTGATGCGTTGCCGCTGGGCCGCACAAAACGACCGCATGCTACACAGTCTTCTTTGAGTGTGTAAAAGTACGTACATATATATATATATATATATGGTCAGAGAGAGAGAGAGAGAGATATATATATATATATGTATATATATATATACACACATATAGATATAGATATAGATATAGATATATATATATATATATGTATATGTATATATATATATATATAGGTAGCAAAGGGGTTCTTCCGCATGGAGGTGGCAGATCCGATGTGAACTAGTTTCCGTTAACAGGTGTTGCAGCAAGGCGGGAAAATCGAGATCGGCCTTGTTAAAACAAAAGGGTGGATTTGGGACGACTACTACAGGCCAGATGAGAATTATCCCGTTCTTGGCTCATCGAAACAGCTGATGCCTGCTCGGGAGATGTCAGTAGTGACTCAGTGGTGACTACTGATAACGAAGAAAGTGCTGGGAAGCTGCTTTGCATGATGTCAGCAGCGCTATCGAAGAACGTCCAGAGGTATGCCCTTCAGACTAAAACTCATGAGCTTCCGACAAGCTGATCTATACAATCTATTCTACTTGTCCCGGTCCCTGCAGCTTTGTCTCTGTTGTGAAACGCAGCCTGTGCGTCATGTTGGGGCCTCAACAATTGAAATAGGGTTTTGTAGGGTTTTGGGGCCCATTATACTATACTTACAATGCGGAACCCCCCCAAAATAATAGGAATTATTTCGGCCCCTACATTACTGGTCACCGAAGTTGTCTGAGCCCGGACCTCCCTTCGACCGATGCCATCCAAAACGAGGGGTCTTCATACTCAGGGCCTTAGGGAATCGCGGCCATAAGTAGGGGCTTAGGGTTTTGGGTTTTTTGGGTTTTAGGGCATAGGGTTCAGGGCCAGGTTTGGGATCAGAAAAGGCTTGGGGGGGGCGGGGGCGGGGCGGTTATAATGCTATACACGTATGCAGCGATTAAATTCGGGGAACACTATGCCTGAGAATTCGACCCCCCCCCCCATACTAAATATCAGCTTAGGGGGCATCATAAGATATTAACATTCAGTTGTTGTAGACCTCATACCGTAGGTATAGCCCGGATACTGCCCCCGAACACTAGGGTCCCCCTTTTAAGGGCAAAGGGTAGCTTAGGGTTCGATAACGGTACACTGCCCTACAATAAGCTGAAACCCCCAGGATCTCTCAACAAACTGACTCTGTTCGCGTCATGTCCGAGTGGTGTGGTCTTGCAGGAGAAAGTCTGGGGTGCGATTGTGCTTCCCAGGATTCACTGCAAGATGACCTGAGAGTGTCGGGAGTCGGGGTCACCGGCTTCCGATCTCTCACTTTACTTGCATGCACTCTGGGTGTGCGCAAGTCCCTGCTCACACCCACGAAGGCACCAACCAATGCATTTCCCGTCGCCGCGGCACACCCTCCATCACAGCCTCCCTTCCCAGTCCCAGTAGCTCGAGAGTTCGGGGTTCGGGTGGAAACTGCAGCTTTTTTGGTGCATCTCGGGATGCACCTGAATTCTAGAATATCTCCGGAGCTTTGCTCACCTCGCTGGGCATTCGGGGCACTTGCTGCGCAGCAACATGTAAGAGCAAAGGAAGCCTTGTCAACTGCGGCCCTGAACCCAAACCTTGAATAGGAAGCCAGGTTCGGATTCACTGTTGAAGATCCCTCTTTCCCCAGAGCCCGCTCCGGTTGGTCATCCTTTTTCTTGAAGCCCGGGACCCCTAGGGTTTAGGGTCTAGGGTCTAGGGTTTAGGGTTTTAGGGTTTAGGGTTTAGGGGTTTAGGGTTTAGTGGCCCGGGAAGTGTTGAAGCCAAAGCACATTGTGGCTCAAGATTATCTGGCTGCGGCTCTGCTCTTGCTGACATAGAGGCGCAGCCATGCATCTGTCAAATCCCTCCATGTGGACAATCGTGCCACTGGACAGCTCTCAGTAAGTTGTGATAAATGGGAGTTTCCGAAAATAGGGGGTTACTGTATTGGGGGGTCCTTTTCTTAAGGATCCTATTATTTAGGGTACTATATTAGGGTCCCCTATTTTCGGAACCCCCCCAAATAATCATGTGTCTCTGAGAGCGGCACTCGAGCAATCCAGGTCTTGCTTCCTGCTTGGAGCAGTAAGCTTGCGGCAGCCGAGCAAGACCGTCGGCGACCTTGCTCAAGAATCGGACAGCCGATCCGCTACCCACGAACCAAGTGTGTCATGGCTGCACTATGCTAAATGCTTTGGAGTGGGAAATGTCTGGTGCACCTTCCCCTCGGAGACCAATGACCGGTGTCCGTCCTCTGCAATCAGAACCATGAGGCGTAACCAGCGTAACCCATTAAGTGGTCATTGCCTCCACTTGATGGAGTGAGTGGCGGCGCGTACGAAGGAATCAATAGCTGGAAATGCCACCATGACATGATGGTTTATGCTTCTCTTCTGAGTTGTTAAGAAGCGACACTGCCATCTGCCCGGAGTAAAAATCCGCCAGGTGATCGGAGGAAGCGCGTTCCTCGATCTTGAAGCTGCAGATCTCGACAAAGCGCACGCAGGCTTCCTGCTCTCCGGGCAACTTTTTCACTTTTCCCACCGGACCCGCTTCTTCTGTTACCATTCTTCTAGTTACTAGCACTACGTCTCATCACCAGCCACAAAAGCAGCAGCATCCGCACGAGCATCAGCATCAGCCCCAACAGCAACAACAACAACAACAACTACTACTGCTGCTACTACTATTGCTACTACTACTGCTACTACTACTTCTACTGCTACTGCTACTGCTGCTACTACGACCACCACTGCTACTATTGCCACTATTACTAGTACTATTACTAGTACTCGTACTTGTTCTACTACTACTACTACTACTACTACTACTACCACTACCACTACTACCTACTACTACTACTACTACTACTACTACTACTACTACTATTACTACTACTACTACTACTACTACTACTACTACTCCTTTTCCTCCTCCTCCTCCTGTTACTACTACTACTACTACTACTACTACTACTCCTGCTGCTGTAACGAGAACAACAACTACTACTACGACGACGACTACGACAACGAGGACTGCTGCTAGTACTTCTATTCTTGCTCTTGACCTTGCTTTTGCTACAGCAACTGTTGTTCTTACTCTGCTTACTGTCAGCTACCGTTCTCGGCGCCGGGTGCCTGAGCTACAGGCCGTCGCTGGCATGTAGTTCATCTCGGTCGCGGCTGCACCCACGTAGACACCCAAGAGGGACCTCTCGGAAGCCCACTCCCCAAAAACTCAGAACAAGCTCTCATGGCGTGATAAACAAGGAAAAAAGTTGAGTGTGGGTTGGTCTATTTGGGGGTTTCCGAAAATGGGGGACTCTGATATAATAGGATCCTTATTATAAGGACCCCAAAATAAGTACCCCCTATATTCGGAAACCCCCAGTTTGAGCTCGAAGTTATCACAGGCTGAGGGCTTGGGGTGTTGTCTTCTCGGCGGCGCAGCCGCAAGCAAGGGAGCCGTCTCCAGCTCCACATGCTCTGCATGAGCTCAAGGCATAAGGTTACTTGGAGGGTCGGGGGACTTAGTAAATACGTACAAAGTAGAGTTGTAAGTACCCTAAAAGGGATCCTAATTGGGGTTTCGGTACTTATAAGTCTGTTAGTTACTAAGTCCCCCGACCCTCCAAGTAAGGCTCAAAATCACAAGGTGATGCCCAAAACACCCTGCCCCACACAGCAAATGCAAGACCATAGAGGCGAACTGCTGATAGGCGCTTGATTTTAGACCAGCCTTCTTCACAGGAAGGCGCGTTGCCTGCTTCTCTAAGACTCTAAGACGGTACCTATTCTTTGGAGAGGCAGAACGCCCTCACAAATTAAAGCCATAAATAGTAGTGTCGAGCTCATTTCGCGGTAGACCCTGAACTCTAAACGCTCAACCTCTAAACCCTAAAATCTCGGGCCAGCATTCACACCCGAAGCCCTGAACCTTACTATATATCATTATAGCTCCGTACCATATATTATGATTACTACTACTTTTACTATTACTATTATTATTACTACTAGTACTGTTATTGTTGTTACTATTCAGCAAACTGCTCTAAAGATCCTTCTGGAACTGTTGTTAAGGAAATTACACTAAAGCTCATTCCTGAACCCTAAACCCGAAAAAACTCCCTCTGGAGTTTGAAAAACCCCGAGCAGCCCGCCTCATGAGGGACTTCTTCGTGTAGCCACTGTAATACCTGAGGCCCAGAAACTAAGTCTGTTGACAAAGGGTTGAATGTAGGGGCCTTAATATTTAGAAGAGGGTTTGAGCGTATAGTCTACTATAACTACAAATAAGGACCCCCCCCCCAAAAAAAAAAATAGTATTCATTTTTTGGGATTTTGGCTGCGAGCTGTCTGCTGACTAGGACTGTGACTGTGAAAAATGATGAAACTGCTACTGTTACTGTCGTCAGTATCGGTATTATGCCATTTGTAAGTATTAGATTAGGACTACGAACTGTACAACAAAGGGCACACACACACCCAAGTCAAGAATTCTTTACCTTTTCTCTCGACTCAGAACGCAGGTTCCACTCGCACCCTTGTGCACATTCTGGCCGCTGCGCTAATGTAGGAACCTGATTAAGAAACCCTGGGTCTTTATTAGGGTTCTTAATATGAACCCTAATATATTGGGGTTATAGGGCCAGGGTTCTTAAATCAGGTTCCTACATTAAAAGCTTGCGTCATGTTTGGGCAGATCCTGGCCGCTGCGGGCTGCCTGTTTACGGACTTTCTCGCCGCTTGCGCCTCGTTTACGAGCTGCCAGGCTGCTCCTTGTTTGGGCACCGGGCGTCCAGCCTGTACCGCGTTTAGGCGCATTGTGGCCGCTGTGGGCTGGTAGCCCGCACCAACATTCTGGTTGCAGTGCAAGCTGCCAGTCCTGTAAACCCTGTGATGTGACACTGTGAGGAACCTGCTTGAAAACAAACCTTAGAAGACCCGAAACCCAAACCCTCAAACCTGAACCCCAAAACTCAAACCCCTAAAACCAAAGAAACTTTCAAGCCCCAAACCTTACGGTTTAGGGTTGAAGGGTTCAGGGGTCTAGGGTTAATGCCAAAGTGCAGCGCCTCATAGGAAGTCTCCAAGATGTGCCTTTGTGCTGGGTCCATGCCGCGGGATTCCACCGGCGAGATGTTGAAGAAGCGGTTGTCAAAGAGTTCGATTCCGTCCTTTTTGGGCTCGTTTTTTTTTTCGGGTTTCTGCGGTATTCGAGTGGATGGGTTTATGACTTAAGGCTTTAGGCACGTATCAAAAAGACTCATGGAGGCATTCGCAAGAAGCAGGTTCTAGTGACCAAACCCTAAACTAGTAGGTTATGGTAGCAGCGTACTTGTTAAACCTCGAAGAACTTGGGCTGCAGAGAAGACTAAGCCACCTCAGCCCCAAAAGAACTCGCAGAACTCTCTGAGAGAACCCTACAGTTTCTGGGTTCCTTCCTACGATTTCTTATACAGTTCCTTAAAAAGAGGTAGGTTTTTCCGAGGTCCAGGTAGGATTTGCTACAAAACCCCTGGTCGGTTCGAAGCCTCAAGACCCTAAACCCTAAACAAGCCCTACTTGGGGGGTCGGGGGACTTAGTAAGTAGATACTAAGTAGAGTTATAAGTACCCTAAAAGGGATCCTAATTGGGGTTATGATACTTAGAAGTCCATAAAATGGTTAGTTACTAAGTCCCCCGACCCTCCAAGTAACTCCTTAACCGTGGGCTTCAAGCCCCAACGCCGCAAGCACAAACCCACAAGGCTCCCTACTCTTGATAAGCCCACAGCTAGACAGCCCTCCGCATAGAAAGATATCCTAAACTTAGGGTTTAGGGTTGAGGGTTTGGGGTTAAAAACCCTAAACCCTAAACAACCATCGACCCCAAGCCGAGCATCAATAAAGGCGCCGTGCTTGCTGTTTGTCTTCGCCTGAGTTCTGGAGAATGCGGAGCGGACCCAAACGGGTAGTTGTCAAAATTATGGTCCCTTTTGGGGTACCCTAAATAATAGGTGCCGTATTATAATAAGGACCCAAAAAGGGACCATAATTTTGACAACCACCCAAATAGCTCTCAATCAAGGATACAGGTAGACCAGAGGGTTTTCATAGGGATTGTGCCAGGATGCCCAGTAGCCTATCTAAGGTTAGAAGTATGGGCCCCTAATCTGGACCCTTAGGCCCTTCTAGGGACCCTTAAGGGTACAAATAGGGTAAAAAAGTAGGTGCATAAGGATCCCACCCTTAAGGGCCCATACTGGGGGCCCATGGCTTCAACCTGAGAACCTAGGAAGAAACAGGGCTACTTGTTGGCATTGACAAGGAACCCCTAACCCTAAACCCTAAACCCTAAACCCTAAACCCTAAACCCTAAGGAACCTACTGTAAGACCACAGAAAAGGAAAAAGGGCAAACCTGGGAGGCCTGGTGTAGGGGCTCTATAAGGAGTTTTTCAGGGCTTAGGGTTTAGGGTTTAGGGTTTAGGGTTTAGGGTTTAGGGTTTAGGGTTTAGGGCTTAGGGTTTAGGGTATAAGGATTTTTCAAGGGCCCTAAGCGGTCTCTCATGCGGGACCCCCAAGTACCCTTCCAGGGAGCTCTTCCGATCCCTACTAACCCACCTTTTTTGTAGGCTCTGAACCAGCTGCAGTACATAACCCTCTAAGGTTGAAGTCATGGGCCCCTGGTATGGGCCCTTAAGGGTGGGATTCTTGTATACCTACTATATACCCTATACGTACCCTTAAGGGTCCCTAGAAGGGCCTAAGGGGTCCATATTAGGGGCCCAAACTTCTAACCTTAGAGCCCTACAAACACTTAAAGGAGACTACAAGGGGGGAGTTTAGGGTTTTTAGGGCTTCTTTCAGGCTTCTATAAGGTATGTAGACCTTCTATAAGGCTGCTATAACGGTAACTACCCACTTGAAAATGCCCTACAAACAGGCCGTCTCCAGGACCCCAAACCCTAAAGCCGAGCCCTAAGCCCCCTCAAAACTGGGTCCCTTGCTCACGAACCCCCTAAAAACTCTAATATAGAGGCCTCAACAATTACCTATACCATTTTTTTTTGGGGGGGGGCTCCTTGTTACAGTGGAAGTATAATTATACCCCAAAGCCCTATTCTAATTATTAAGGCCCCTGAACCCTGAACTCTTATGGTAGCCCTTATAGAACCCTTTAGAGGAACCCTTAAAAGGAACCCCATTCTAATTATTAAGGCCCTAGAAATTCCTTAGAGACTCCTAGAAACCCCTAGAAATACCCTAGAAACTCCTAAAAACTGCTAGAAATTGCCCTATATTAAACCCTCATCCAGTGGCCCACTTCCAGCTCTCCGGATCCTCATCGAACCTCGGTCTCTCTCTCGGGCTCGAGGGTCGGTCAGGTTTAGGATTTACGGTGTACCTCTACCTTCTAAACAGGGTCCCTATAAATGCTATATTAGGGTTCCCTAAACCCTAAACCCAAAACCTACCTTTTTCATAGGGTCCCTATAAATGCTATATTAGGGTTCCTACTACTTGGCGGGTCGGGGGACTTAGTAAGTAGAGCTTTCAGTACCCTGAAAGGGATCCTAATTGGGGTTATGGTACTTATAAGTCTATAAGAATAACTAGTTACTAAGTCCCCCGACCCTCCACGTAGGCCCTTCGTGGCTCTAGATGGGCGATTATAGTTATACTGTACTATACTATACCCCAAAACCCGATTCTATTAATCAAGGCCCCTACATTAAACCCTTTGTTTAGGATTGTGGTTGACGGCATTTTTTGTGTTTCCGGGTCTTGGGGTTCAGGATTTAGGGTGTAGGGATGAGGTTTGCAGTTGGTTTAGCGTTTAGGATTAAAGGTCTAGGGTTTGCGGTTGCATACATAAGGTATGGGGTTACTACCGGGTGCTGGAAAGGAATCGAAAGGTTGTTTTTGGGGCTTCGTAGCCTTTGAGAAAGGTTTTTAGGTTTAGGTTTTCAGGCTTCAAGAACCAAAACCCTACAGCTTACTTGGAGGGTCGGGGGACTTAGTAACTAGTTGTTTTACAGACTTATAAGTACCATAATCCCGATTTGGATCCCTTTTAAGGTACTTATAACTCTACTTATTACCTACCCCCGACCCTCCAAGTAAAGAAACGTTAAGGGGCTTATGACCCCAATTCCAAGCTACTCACTCCGTCCCCTGAGCTCTTAAGTAGGGTCCAATCTTTCAGGCTTCAGGGTTTAGGGACCCGGGTCCCTTAACCGAAAACCCTAACCCCTACACCCTGAACCCTAAACCCCGAACCCTGACCCCTAACCAAAACACCCTAAACATCAAACTCTAAACCGAGGGGGCGGGGGGGGGGGAAATCAGGGTCGCGGGCTACCTTGGCGGGTGTTGGGCACACGGGGATCCTGGGACCGAGCCGGGTTTCGGCGTTCAGGGGTTTCGGGGGTTGGGGTCTAAAGTTTAGGCATTTAGGGTTTCAGGGTTCTACCCCCCGCAACACCCAAACTCCCAACCCAAAATGTGAGACCCAAGCCGCAACCAAAACGGAACACCTTGGATCCTACAACCCGGTAGAGCCCGCATGAGCCCCATCTAATTCTATAAAGCACCAGGAAACTAAACCCTCAACCGTAAACCCCAAACCCATAAACCCTAAACCCCTAAACCCTAAACCAAAAACCCCTAAACCCAGAAACCCATAAACCCTTTTTACACAAAGAAAGCGATGCCAGAACCATGGACCCAGGGAGCATTGGGGTGTGATCCCACCGGCAGAAGGGCACCTGAACCCACGCTGTTAATCAGGGCTTAGGGGTTTAGGGCTTAGGGGTTTAGGATTTAAGGGTTTAGGGCTTAGAGGCTTAGGGGCTTAGGATTTAGGGGTTTAGGGTTTAGGGTAGGGTTTAGGGTTAGGGTTTAGGGGTTTAGGGTTTAGCGGTTTAGGGTTTAGGGTTAGGGTTTAGGGGCTTAGGGGCTTAGGGTTTAGGGTTTAGGGTTTAGGGTTAGGGTTTAGGCGTTTAGGGTAGGGTTTAGGGTTAAGGGTTTAGGGTTAGGGGTTCAGGGTTAAGGGTTTAGGGGTTTACAGTAGGGTTTAGGGTTAAGGGTTTAGGGTTAGGGATTTAGGGTTAGGGTTTAGGGGTTTAGGGTAGGGTTTAGGGTTAGGGTTTAGGCGTTCAGGGTTTAGGAGTTTAGGGTTTAGGGGTTTAGGGTGTAGAGGTTTAGGGTTTTTGTGGTCATGGTAGTTGCGGAAATATCAGTTTTAAGTACCAATAACAACAAGCGCGTCCAGAAACAGTTGAATAAGAAGAATTTGCAGTATAATAAGCATTTCAAGGCTCACCAACACATCGCGATCGAGAATACTGTCAGCGCCATGTGTTTTTTTTTACTATGGGCCCTGCCAAGTAAGCCGTAACATGCGGACTCCTTTGTCAGTTTTGGTCATTTCTAAACGGCCCCACCACAACAAAACAGCAACGGGCACTACTGGGGGGATTAAGTTGATTTTTGGACTCATCCCTAAACCCTAAACCCTAAACCTTAAATCCTACACCCTAAACCCATGATCACGGAGCCTCTTCGATGAGGTCGCAGCCAGCTTGCATTCCACACCAGTAGCCCCCATCGTTGTAGGAGGATGGGAATTTGCAAGACGTGCCCCGGACCACGATCTGTTCAGGCATTGGGTTACGATCTTGGTTGTAGGAATTAGCCAGGGTTGAGGGAGTAGCTTTGCAGATTCGGAACTACATCTTTCAATGTTCAGGCTTCAAGGTTTGGGATATCAATTGTATCCTCAAGCGAGACATGCAGCAATCTTTGCTTCGGATTGCATGTGCTCACTCGTTCTTAGCACATCGAATGCAGCAGAGAAACCCTAAAACTCTAAACCCTAAACCCTAAAACCATAAATCCTAAACCCTTAACCCTAAAACCCTAAACCCTGAACCCTAAAACCTTAAAACCCTAAAGCCCTAAACCCTAAAACCCTAGACCTCCCCGAACACCAAATCCTGAGGGTGAAGGGGTGTTTTTCTTTCATCCTCGGCCTGGTGGGACGTTTTTTGTCTTGGGTAGGCCTAAGGGACTTAGTAAGTAACTTACAGGTTTAGGGTTTAGGGGCTTAGTAAGTAACTTATAGGTTTAGGGTTTAGGGACTTAGTAAGTAACTTACAGGTTTAGGGTTTAGGGGCTTAGTAAGTAACTTATAGGTTTAACGTTTAGGGTGTGCGGTTTAGGGTTAAGGGACTTCGGAAGTAACTTATATAAGTTTATTAGTCGGATAACTCCACTTCAGGGGACCTATAACCCTAGGGGACTTAATGATAGACTGCTTTTGTTGCGGAGTCTATGGGGGAATAGTATGACTAGTTGTTCGAAGCCCTACAACCGGGTTTGTGATTTGAAGCTCAAAGAGCCGGTAGTGCGAGCCCCAAGCCACAGCAGAAAACACGATCAAAGTCACACCTTAATCTCAATCTACCGTCGATGATATAAGTCCTGCCTTACCTTAAGGACCCTAAGCTCGGGGAACTATGGTATATTCCTTATTATGGTTAATGCAGGATTTATATCATCAACCGCAGCACTGGAATGCACACCACTCTGAATTCCTTGCCATGCAGAACCCGGAACTCTACTATGGGGCCTTAATAATTAGAATAGGGTTTGAGGTAGTTTAGGGTTTTAGGGATTAAACTATAACTATAATCAGGAGCCCCCCCCAAAACAGTCTAGGTAATCATTCAGGCTCCGTTTATTAAACTCCATTCTTCAGCTTCAAGTCGGGAAGCCCTGGACCCTAAGTTCCAACAGCCCTGGAGCCCTAAAAAAAGCATCGTGTGCACCACGCTGTTTGGGGAATACACTTTAAATCCGTGGTTAAATCCGTGGAAACCCCTAACCATGCTAAACCTTCGCAAAATCCTCATAAACCCTATCAAACCCTAAACCCTAAACCCCTAAACCCTATCAAACCCGAAAGCAACTCTTTCAAGCCAAGTCCCACCTGGGGGCCTACCTGGAAAACTTGGTTCGACAGGCGCTGCCACTGCAGCGGTAGGTCGGCGGCATCATCTTGGTTGAGACTCGTTTGCCTTCCGGTAGGGGAGTTGGGTTTAGTTAGGATACTTGGAGGATCAGGGGTTCTGGGGCCCATTATACCATCATTATCATGATGGTTGAGACTCGTTTGCCTTCCGGTAAAAAAAGGGGGCTCAATAATTACCTACATTTTTCTGGGGGTTCCTTATTAGAGCTATATAGTATAATGGGCACCAAAACGCTATTCTAGTGATTAAGGCCCCTATATTAAGTTTGCTTTCCGGTAAGGGAGTTGGGTTCAGTTAGGGTGCTTGGAGGGTCAGGGGTTTTAGTAAGTAGCTATTAAGTAGAGTTATAAGTACCCTAGACGAGATCCTAATTGGGGTTATGGTGCTTATACGTCTGTAAGATAACTACTAAGTCCCCGACCCGCGAAGTAGGGGTTTTGGGTTTAGGGTAGATGTTAGTGTGTCAAGGGGGCCTGAAAGTTCCGAAAAGGCGACCTCTAAAGCTAACGCCCTACGTGTCATAGGGTTCACAGGTTGGGGTTTGGGGTACAAACGCAAAAAACTTCACCTCTAAGGCCCCAAACACAAAACCCTGAGATCCTAAACCCCATAGCACTCTCTGTCGAATCCAGAAAGTACGTAATGTAGGGGCCTTCATCATTAGAATAGGGTTCTGGGAATTATGAATCTACAATTATAACAAGGAACAGGAACCCCCCAATATAGTCTAGATATCTATTTAGGCGCCTGTATGAAAGGAGCTCTCAAAGGAACGAATCCTTGAAGGAGCCTCTAATCGGATGCTCTCAAGGAGCTCGTGAAGGAAACCAGGGTCGCTGTAAGGGTTCCTTTACGGGCCCCTTGCAGGAGCCCCAAAACATAGAACCCTTCAGTGACCCTAAAGGGTCCCTTTAAGGGTACAAGGGTACGATAGGGCTCTCTGATAGGGTCCCCTTAAACGGTTTAGGGTTTAGGCTTAGGGGTTTTGGGGTTTAGGGTTTACGGGAACCTTGAAGGGACCCCTTTAGAGGAACCCTTAAACCCTAAACCCTTAAGCCCTTAAACCCCAAACCTATACCGGGACCCCTCTAGAGGAACCCTTAAACCCTAGACCCTTAAACCCTTAAGCCCTAAACCTAATGTAGGGCGGCCTTAATGGTTGGAATAGGGTTTTGGGGCCATTATACTATCATTATAATAAGGAACCCCAACATAGTATAGGTAATTATTACTTGGAGGGTCAGGGGACTTAGTAAGTAGATATTAAGTAGAGTTATAAGTACCCTAAAAGGGATCCTAATTGGGGTTATAATACTTATAAGTCTGTACAATAATTAGTTACCAAGTCCCCCGGCTCTCCAAGACAGGCCCCTGTAGTATACCGGGACCCCTCTAGAGGAACCCTGCAAGGGTCCTCTCAACCGAGCCCTCCCTGGAAGGGCGCCCTGCGCTTCCTTCCCCAAGAAGTTAGGGAAAGAAAAGGCGAAACTTTCAGATACCCTAAACCCTAAACCCTAAACCCTAAACCCTAAACCCTAAACCCTAAAGTTTTTAGAGCCCCAAAAACTCTAAAGGCCCTCTAGTACCCTTTAAGGGAACCCTTAAAGGAACCCTTGTAAGAACCCAAAAAGTTTAAAGGCTGGGTATTGGGGAACTAAGTAGAAGGCACCCTGTGCCTTCTGGCAGACTTATAAGTATCTTAACCTCAATTAAGATCCTTTTTTGGCACTTACAACTCTAGTTAAGCCCTAAACGCTAAACCCTAGGATCCCTTTTTTTGGCACTTACAACTCTAGTAAGTACCTACTTACTACTTGGAGAATTGGGGTTATGGTACTTATAAGTCTGTAAAACAACTAGTTACTACATCCCCGGCCCTCCAAGTGTGCCTTCTGGCGAGCTCCCATAAACCCAAAACCCTAAATTACTAAACCCTGAACTCTAAACCCTAAACCCTAACCCCTAAACAGCCCTAAACCCTAAACCGCTTGAAGGCTGGGCATTGGGGAACTGAGTAGAAGGAGCCCCGTGCCTTCTGGCAGACTTATAAGTATC